ATACCGTCATATTTAAATATTTATATAGCACAATTTCCCACTTCATCAAAAACAATATAACAACAGAAATACTGAAATTACTAATCACAGAAGAAAGAGTATCTGAAAATCATATCACTGCATTGGATCAGGATCAGAAGAACACTTTGGTCAACAATCAAAAAAATAGTGTGCTCAGCATAATTTAAATTGCACATTATAACCGAAGTTTACCAGCTGGGTTCTCCACCCACGGATATAATTCAGGACACGGATTACAGGTTAAAAATTGGTGCTCCGGACTGTTAAGATCCGGCGTTCGGTACATACATTTATTTGGCTGTTCACATAAGCCATCGCCCATTGTACGCGGTGTTCGACCACGCGTACATCGCAAAGCATTAGACTAGAAATTTACAGTGAACTAGTTATTGAGAATATCTTGCCACTGGTACCTTGGTGGTTCTACGACGACGAAAGTGAAACCTAATGCAATAAAAAGTGCAAACCTGATATATTCGTGATAGCGGACTTGGGTCTTGCATCCATTCAATCAGCTGCTTGATTGTGACAATGTACACATCCTTGTTGGTGGTAATGCGATTCAAAAACCTATCAAGTAGCGAAGTTAGATAACCGTAATCACAACTTTCAATTCTCAATACCTGATGTATTGAAAAAAGTAATTTTTAAATGACCCACCTTTGTAAAGCTAACATTCCGGTGTTTTGAGCGTTTAGCTGCAAAAAGTCGGCAGTAAGCGTCAACAAATAAGGCGCACGATTGCCAAAGTATGCTTTTTCAAAGTTGAACGATAGCAGGTTATACTAAAAAATCAAGCATGATTACAGTGCTAATGAATGAATAAAGTATTTAATTCAATTACATTAAACAGACGCCTCACTTATCGCAAACTGTAATTACTGTCAGTCAAGACAAAAAGCACTAACAAGTTCGTCTACTGTTGCATTCAGATCCACAACTGCACGAAGCATTGATGAATGCCTTCCAACATTGGTTTGGTTCTTGTGGCTGTAGTAGAACTGATTTACCGGGATCTCCCAAACTCCAGGAAATGAGCTGCAAATATTTTCTGTGAACGGTTATTCATCACACAAATTTTTGTGAATTTAATCTGCTTGAATAAAAAACTGTACAAGGCTACCAGTCTCACCAGTGCTGGCCGTGGCAGAAATTATTTTATACAATAACGCTTCAACAGTCAGCCGCTTGCTACGCTGAGGCGAGAGGCTCACAGCAAAAAAGATAAGCGCGGCGGTCTAAAAAATACGAAAAACGGCAGGAGCGTTCAATCTATACCGTTTTATGCTCATTCACCACGCTCCCCCAAAAAAAGCAAAAAAAACCTTGCACCACAAAACTACATTACCATGCTCTAAACGAAGTTTCAAAAAACACAACAAATTACAAAAAACAAGGTTGAAGAGAATACCAGCAGAAAACTTCACTATTTTAGTCACCAGCGCACAAAAAGCATTTCGCAGGCATAAGTTACATTTCGACCTAAGCAATGAACAGAACAACCAAACAAGGAAGCACAACGACCACCAAAGAAAAATACAAGATTCACTAACAACTAAACAGACGTATTATTTCCACACGTACTAAAAACTTCCAAAACCTTCAAGCACCTCTTCCTAAGCTACTAAAATACAAACACCGCAAATCAGAAATCACCCCGTAAGCACATATTCACTCTCGCAAACCAAACTTCATCAAATTTACTATTCCACTTCACATAATCCACCACTTCCGCGACCTAGAACAACACAACAAAACCGCGATATCCGAAAAAATCCAAATATACCACCGAACTATTCCGATAGACACCATCTCCACTAAATTCCCTAACCTAGCAATCGGCGTACACAGACTTACCCCTTTCTCATTTCAAAAAACAGTAAAACAACGGGAAGAACCGGTGATCGAAACCGGGAAATCTCGCACCCAAAGCGAGAATCATACCACTAGACCATCCAGCCGCTGACCGTTCTCATCCTGATTTTCTTACGAGCTTAATTTCGGCATAGTGTGGCCAACATTTATTTACCGATTTTTTCACCAGAAAAAACAGTAAAACAATGGGCTGAACCGGTGATCGAAACCGGGACCTCTCGCACCCAAAGCGAGAATCATATCACTAGAAGATTCAGCCGGTGATCCTTCTTATATTCATTTTCTTACAAGTTTATTGTGAGCATAGTGTGGCCAACATTTATGCACCGCCTTTTTCACCCGAAAAAACAGTATAACAATGGGCTGAAAAGATGATGGAAACGGGGAAATCTCGCATCCAAAGCATCATACCACGATTCCATTCAGCGGGTGATCCTTCTTATCCTAATTTTCTTACAAGTTTATTGTCAGCATAGTGTGGCCAACATTTATGTGTCCCCTTTTTCACCAGAAAAAACAGTGAAACAATAATCTGAACCGGTGACCGGAACCGGGACCTCTCGCATCCAAAGCATCATAACGCTAGACCATTCAGCCGGTGATCCTTCTTTCCGTGATTTTCTTACAAGTTTATTGTCTTCATGGCGTGGCCAGCAGGCATGGACCGCCTTTTTCACCCGAAAAAACAGTAAAACACTGAAATGAAAAGATAATCGAAACCGGGACCTCTCGCACCCAAAGCGAGAATCATATCACTAGAAGATTCAGACAGTGATCCTTCCTACCCTGATTTTCATCCAAGTTTATTGTCTTTATGGCGTGGCCAGGAATCCTGTACCGCCTTTTTCACCCGGCAAAACTATAAAAGAATGAGCTGAACCGGTGATCGAAACCGGGACCTCTCGCACCCAA